TTTTACTGTTAAAATTTGTGAGTTCATTGTCATAATGTGATGTAGCAATGACTGAAGCAGAAACTGCCTCAGTAATTTCTCATAGAAGCAAAAAGCTTGGTAGATGAAACTTACCAAAAGTTCTCAATGATTTAATTACTTTCTTCCTTTAATGATGCTAAATAGCCAGCTGTTCCTAACTGAAGGAGAATAGAGTGAATACAGAAAATTTCTGAAAACATAGGTTTTCTCTCTCAAGTAATGTTTTAGATATTCTTTAAATTGCTTACTAGTCTGGTAGCAAGAAACAGCTGATCATCTTTAATTAACTTCTGTTTTGTCTAGTCAATGTAGAGTTATAATATCCTGGTTAATATTTTATAGCATATATTGAAACATGATATTTGTCTGTGATTCTTACATCTAATTCTTGAAACTGTCTTGCTTTTTTGTTAATTATTCCAATGCATTCACCCCTGAAGGCATACATCATTGACAAACAGGTTTAAAGAATTTTGTTGTTGTTGTTAAATTACAAGCAAGCAAATATTAATCTGAAACCCAGCTCAAGCAAGCATCTAAGACTTCAGACCATAGCAGCTGCAAGAAGACAGCAGAAGCCAGAATCAACAAATTATACAACATTCTGCTTGCACTTCTCTTTCTCATGGCTGTAAGTGACAATTCTGCATCATTCAGCTGGGTGGGAGGGAGAGCAGATTTGGGATGAATAAAAGAGCTTTGTTCAGATCAGGAAATCTGTTATGGTAACTACTGTAAAATCATCACAGCAAGAAGAGTCATCAGAAAACAAATTTGTTTTGTATAAAGGCTCTGTGAAACATATGTGATGGCTTGGGTTTTGCTTTGGTTTTTTGTTGCATTTTGTTGGGGATTTTTTTTTTTAGTATTAGAAGTCATTTTCAGAGGAAATAAAAATAAAATAATGCATCTTGCCCCTTTTGAAAGCATGAAATACAATCTCTAACATACTGTAAGACAAAGTGTGTGGTTGTACTCCACAACTTTAGTAATATTTCACATAAAGACACAGAAAAATTCTTGTCAATGCTTTTAGAAATCAGTAATTCTTTGCATTTTTGGCTTGAGGTGTGTTAAAGGAACTTCTCAAAAAGTAAATAATCAACACATTCCAAATATTCATAATTTTTAAAAAATGCTGCCAGTTTAGTCTCTGTAAAGGATTTTTCATCTTTGGAAATTTTAATCACTTTGTCTATATGCCTCTTGCAACAGATTCATTTTAATGGATTAATTCTTTTAGATGAGTGTCATGATATAACTGCAGGCAGCAGCCATGTGCATTTTAACATTTTTATAGAAACATTATGAACTGTTCTTTCATTTACCATGTCCTAATTTTCAGGGCATGGTTCCTACTCTTCTTCAGTGACATACTAAATTGTTTCACTCAGGGGCAAGAAAACCAAAAGAAAACAAATCTTTGCCTACCAAACATCATAACACAATATTAGTAAAATAAATGAAATCATTAAACATAAAAACACTGGGAAAAGACATTATTTTCTAAATTTGAAGCCTATTAGGGAATTCTGTAGTCTTGAAGCCTCTTCCTGTCATATGCAGCATGAAATTTATAAGTCAAATCAAGTCAAAGTGAGAGTTCTTGCATTTTGTCAGGCATAGAGTATATGTGGAACATTCTTATGCTGGTTAATTGTTAGATGTGCATCTTCAATGTATTTTTATATATGTAGTTTTGAAAAATAGCTGGCTGAGAGTAAAACAGGAGCCAATTGTCGGATGTTTTGACGTAAGGACATATGAAAAATATTCCTCAAAAATGTACATTATTTTACACATTAGCATCATCTTATTTCTCAGTCTTCCAAATTTACTGTTTTATTTTGTGTGAAGGCCAATGTTCCACATCAAACAGATTAAATATGTGGGGGGTTCATTCTGGAAAGAAGAGTTTGATGAAGTAAAATCAGTTTAATGGCAATAATTTTTCAGTCAAATTATCAGACAATAATCAGTTATTCACATATTTCTATCTAGTTGTTCATGTCTACCTGCTCTACTGCTAGAAGCAGGAATGCTTATCTGCAGTTGTTACCAAAACTGCTAGCCTAGTACAAAGTGCTCCTTATTATACTTTAAAGCTGTATTGTCAACTTGATTTTCAAGCACTGGGAGAGGTAAACAGATATTTCTTTCCCAGCTTTAATTTTGTACCACTGTCCATCAAAGATGGAAGCATAAAACAGAATAAGAATGAATGTATTTTCTTATTGTTGGTTTTATCTTCAAGGGTTAAAAGACCAAACTGTTGTTTATGTATGCACTTCTTCCTGCTCTTGAAAATTAATGATTCTTCTGTGAGACTATTCAAGTAAAGAAATAGTAAAGAAAAATGGTGGATCACTTCTGGCATATGAAAACAAGAAATGGTTGTGTTCAGCAAAATGAATAAAGGTCTAAGAATTATTAATTGTGCCACAGATGCTACTCCTTCAGAAAGAGAATAACAAAATGGAGCATTAACAAGAAGCATAAGAGACTTTTTTGGAGATATATTTCTGCATGCAAAAGGTTGTATATGAGAAAAAGCACAGAACGTGCTTGAAGAAGAATGGATTTAGGGTTACAGGGGACATTAGAGTGGCAATATGATTTTGGGGAGGCATGTAATAAAAGATTAAGATAAATAATTTGAGTCAGAAAAACAAGCTATTAGGAGGAGAAAAAGTTATGTATAGAATACATAAATGAACATTTGTGCATGGAGAGGGGTAACAAGAAACCATTGGCCGAAACATCACTACCTCATCTCAGTTAAATGATGATAAAAACATTGGAAATGGTTACCCAGGAAAGCTGGGTGGAATTTTCACCCTGGTGTTCAAAATCAAGCCAGTGAAGACTGAACAACCCACTCTAACTTTGAAGCCAGCCTGCTTAGAGAATGAGGTTGGACCAGATGACCTACAGGAGCTGTTTCTAGCCTAAATTATTCTATTATACTGGGATTCAGCTTGTCACAGGTTGTTCTGAAAAACTTGTCAGGATCAAAATTTTAAGAAATTAACAAACTGTTCCCTGAAATAAATGTTTAAGAGTGTTTAAGTGCATAGTGAACACATGACACTTGAATAAGGATTTCAGTTTGGTAAGAAATTTTACATTTTCTATGCTCCTCCAACCCCATTCAGAAAGAAAAAGCCAAACAAATAGCTTCTTTTATTATCCCAAGAAAAAAAATTCAGAAAATAGCAACAAGATTGTTCATGAGATCAAAAAGTCTCACTCTGCAGAACCTTTTTTCACAGTACGGTAATGTTGTATTAAAATGTAATCCTTAATTCCTTATTTCAAAAAAATCTCTAAATACGATAATCTCTTTGTATTAGAGAATTCCTTTAAATTACATTCCATGCTTAAGTGAGGGCTATTTTAGAGAAGTTTGCATCCTAAATGTCTCACTTGTTCAGTTGTCATGATTACTTTTCTTTTAGTTTGGCAATATGTCTGTGCTAGAAAATCTGAAATTATGTGGTAGCCCTCTATGAGTGGACAGCAGGGCATTTAGTATAAGAGTTCTAAAATCTTCATAAGTTACTGTTATACGTACTTAAAAGTCTAAAAATGTATGTGTGTGTATATATATATATATATATATATATATATATACACACATAATGAAACAGAATGCCTCAAAGTAGAAAATTGCTTGAAGAGCTGCCTGAGACCTAGGGAACTTCAAAACTTTAGGATCCTTGAAATTTTGGAAATAAGAGCTGAAAATCTTGATTCACATTCCATCTCATAGGCATACTTAGAAATTCATAATTTAAGCTATTAAAAGGCTTTTGTTTAACTTAAATGATAACTTGGAAATCACATTCACCATAGTAGATTTTATGCCTTACACCATAGTTGAATTTAGATAATTGTTATTTATTTCTCTTCCATAAATTTTGCACATGTGCAACAAATATAAATTTGTCAAACTACGTTGAAATTATGTGCCTGGAAAACACTTTGGTGGGCACAGGATTTTACAAATCTATACATTTATGGCTGCATACAACTACTTTTAGATAATCACAACAACAACAGTTTAACAATTCCACTTCTTGGCAATGATGCTTAACATTGAATGATATGGACTCCAGTCAAAAAGTTGTTAAATTTAAAGTGAGAACCAGCAGATCCACATATATGTAATGAATGCTTCAAACAAACATGAAAATCGTAATTCAATATAATACTAATATGCTGAATTTTGTTGCCCTGCATTACTTAGAAGATTGATGATATAATAGTTTTTTCTCTGTAGTTGTAACCTAAAAAATACCAAAAAGTTAATTGCAAGGAATCAGATATTCTCTCCCTCATTATTGACTGCTTTTTGATATAATATTTCATAATATAAGCCATCAGAGGGTAATGGGGTGTCCCTTTTTTGAAGAAGAAAAGATGAAGTTATGCTGCTTGCAAACTTACTTAAACAGCAAGAAAAAAAACAAAAAAGCTTTGTAAGAAATTATTGTGGTTAATAAATTGTGCATTACATGTTCCAATCAGGGTGAAAAAATATATTCTTAGGAAAAAAGCTCATTGATAGTCACAATGTGTTCTGAGTTATATATTGTGTAGAAATTGGTCTGTCTCCAGCTTGTTATTAAAAGAAAAAAAAAGAGAGGAAGTAAGTAAAAAACATTTTTCAAGTGCTAGCAGCTGCAAAAAGCATGTATTATCTCAAAGAATTTCAGGCTGAAGCAAAATTTCAGCCTTTCAGGGTGTCACATTGTCAGTCTGCTTTATGTAAGGATAATCTGAAACTATTAAAACCTGAAAGGAATGCATGTTAATTTTTAGATATAAGACCTTTATTAATTTACCTTGAATCTTTCCAGATGAAAATAAAGAGCAGAATAACATAAAAGAGATGTTTACCCTTAGATAGTAGCTACCCGCTGTCACTGAAGTCTCAGTGATTGAAATCTAAGGTTATTTCTTTTGTATTTTGATAATTTTTGGTGTTTAAAATATGTCAGGAATAGATATTACCCTGTCTTTTATGTGTACTAACCCTGTCGACAGATACTTCATCTACTGCTCAGTTGTGGTTCCAGATACAAGCTGTGATGCTGGTCTAGGCCAGACCACCATCTTTTTCAGGATTAAGTACAAATACCCAGGTTCACCAAATTTGCTGTAGTCAGTTTAGACAGTAGGAGGTAATTCTCCTGTGATTCCATTCAGCTTCTCTCTTCTGCAAGTCAAGATACCTTAGACATACTATTTAATAACAGCAGTCCCCAGCCAGATAAAATTATGTCTTTTAACTTTACCTTCTAGCTTCTGTCAAAAGTCTTGTTCATGTGCTCAGCTTGTCTTACTAGCAAGAACTCCATCATCTCTTAACACTGATAGCTCCATTTGAATCTTTTCAGAGTAGTGAAATTTTAAATTAAGCCTTTGATTCTATTAGTCCCTAAACTCTTACCGTAGTGGAAATTACTCATGTTTTTGGACCTCATTATGAAAAAATCTGCTTATATACCTTGTGGTCTTTCCTCCTCAGTGGTTCATTGTGTGCAAAACCATTAAATAGGTTCTTAGAATGAGTAGTAGCGTAGACAGACAATTTTTTGCTTTTTTTTCCAGATAGGTATGAACACAATGTGAGTCTGGTAGGGCTGGGACATTCATAACAACCACAGTTCCCAGTTGCCTGTTTCTGTAGGAAGGATGGAGGCATCAGAACTGTGGAAGAGTAGATGAGATATCTGAGTTATGTCAGGAGACAAAAATTGTGCTTTAAAATATTTTTTTCCCAAAGTGAAGCTGTCTATTTAAAAAAAAATGTGAGTAAAGATGATTGGTGAAGCATGTCACCAATAAATTCTAACAAGAGAGGGCAAAAGCAGTTATCCACAAAACAAACTGAACTACTGTTCAAAGCAGAAAACTGAGATGAGTGATGGTGATGACTTCAAAACTAGAATGGAGGAGCTGAGGCAAATTTGCATCAGGCAGGGTAGCAATTATTTTGAATGTGCCAAGGATAAATTAGAAACATATTGCTGAGGAAGAAGCACATTGCTAAGTGAAAAGGCTGTAGTTGAGATAATCTCAGTAGTGTTTCAGGCAGACTGATATTTAAAGTCTGGGGAGGTACTTCAAGCCAAGTACTTCAAATACTGTGCAGTCGGTTTATTTTACCAGTGAAGGCAGATGCACTTTGATAGAAAGCTTAGAGCCTGGCAAATTTGCTTGAATGTGTCCTGCAGCTGTTGGAAGTTTTAAAGGGATGAACAGGCTGTAGTCATCTAAAAAGAAGCTAATTTTGACCCAAAGGTGTAATGACAGATAAATGTGCCAGCCATGTCAGTGTAGGTTTTCTAGTAAAATAAACTATTTGCTTTGAATTTTTAGTTTGAATGTATTTAAAATGAAGATAAAAGCTGGTATCTTTTTGGTTCTAAATGCCACCAAAAGAAAAAAAACATCCCATGGGGACACCTTTATTAATATTAATTAATTAATATTTCAAATACATCTCAAAAATAACTTAATTTTTGTTCAGGGATGCTCATAATTCCTCATAGCTGATGTTTACTAAAAAGGTCAGACTGTTTTTCGGAGTAAAACGTGCCTGCAGCATTAGCAGGTAATGCAGAAAGCTCTGAGCCAAGACTCTGCTAAGGCAGCAAATGGTACAGAAGAACATGCCAAGGAATATGAACTTCCTAACAAGTACAGCCATCTTTTAAGTGATTCTGAATGTGTTAGTGTTGGCAATTTGTATACATACTACTATCCAAACTAACTTTTACCCTTGTGCCTTTTGTTCAGATCAAATGCCCTGTTCTGAATGCAGTGAAGGTCTGCTGCACAAGCAATGAGAGTCATTGTGACAAACACACAAAGAATTTGTACAGAACTGTTTCAAAAAGAATCTCTTCAAATGGCAAGATGGTATTAACTGTGTAAGGAAAGAAAGGACAAAGGAAATGAAAGAACTAATGTAATCCAAATTAAGGACCAAGAAGGAGATCTATCAAATTTGGGGAAAGCTAATAGTACATGAAAAATGCTTAAATGAGAATCAATATAAGTTACATGGAAAAAGAAACCAAAAAGAATGACTAGAAGCAGAATTGCAGACAGCTTTCACTAGGAAAATCTGCTAGCTACAGAAATAAAAGGAAAAATAATCAGCTACTTTTTAGGTTTCTTACACATGATTTGTATGCATGGGGGAACGCAGGGAAAGAACCAGAGATGAAAAAAATCAGAGGTTCTACCTTGATGTTAAACTGGCTTATGACCAAGTTACATCTGATGATATGCGTTAGACATTGTTGCTCGGCACTCATACTGCACATCTGATGTTTAAGAAGAACTCAGCTTTTCTGATTCTCATAGTCACCAGTTTATCCTCTCTTCCTGTTGACCAGAGAATAGGAAAACAGTTATGATGTGTGGCTTGAATCCTTATTCTGGTATGTGTCCATTTTGTAAATAATCTAACCCTTATTTTGACTCTGTCCATATCGACACTGTTTTCTTTTTTTGTTAAATTTTAATTATTTTTTTGTTAAATTTTAATCTTTCTATACATAGATGAGTTCAAATTCTGTTGTTATTGTTTTATTAACTTTTTTCAGTAATGAATCCAACAATTCTCTAAGTCATTGAAGTATTTATACCATTGGTATTTTAAGAAGGTGATGTCCAGGATTGTCTAATTACAGAAAAGGAAAAACTGAGGAAGAAAAAAAAACAAAAAGGGAATTTCAGTTTACCAGTGGGAATTTGAGGCACTGAAAAAAGCTGAAAAAAAAAACCATTCAGAGAGCTAATATATAAATTTATACGCACATTAATTTTTTTAGAAAATTCTCCAAGACCTCTGTCTTTGAATAGATGGGAACAGTATGTCAAACTGATGAGCTTTTTCCTTCCTTTAGCTCAGTCTGTTACATATCTTTTATTTCAGTTTTTCTTTTACACAAAAAGGAGTCTACCATTTAGTACTCAATAGAACAATATGGTGATATTTTGAAATATACTGAAATATTTAAAATTCATTAAGATTTTTAACTTAGAATTGGATATTTTACGACCATAATTATAAATTAACAGAAGTGAGAAGAAAAAAAACCATTTCTTTAACAGTTAATTATATCAGAATAAAAATACTTCTTGGATTAGCCCCTTGATCACAAATTTATCCTGTCTTTTTTATAAACTCATTTCATCTTGATTCTGATCACATTACATTTTAGTATTGCTGTAGATAGAGCTGAGTTTTCCAAACTGGTCTCTGAAAAATAAAAATTCTATTTCGTCAAGTCCTTAGTCTTTACTTTTAGAAGTTTTCAGTTAAAAAGAATCGGTATTCATTATATTTTTCTAACAACACAAAAAAACACTTCCTTGAGGCATGTTGATTATGCTTTCAATGATCAGGTTCTTGAAGTTCTTATACTGATGTTTCACAAGTGAATTAATCTTATTTGCAGGTACATCACTCTTTTTAAGGACAGAGAGGCTCCCAAGTTTTAAAAATTCTGCTTTGAATCATATGTGTATTTTTAATTGTTTGTTTCTTGGTGATATCTGTGGATAATTTTATTCTTTGACATAAAACCCAAACATTTTGTTAAAATTTCAGTGGACCTTCCATAGGTTACTAGGAAGAAAATAGAAGAATAAAGCACACTAAAACAACTATCAAACAAGTCAAATTGGCAAAAGGGACAAAGGAGGCACCAAGAAAAAAAAAAAAGGAAAAAATTATTTATTGCAAAAAATTCTCAAAATGGTGAAAGCATACAAAAGCAGGAAGCCCCCTACAAGGAAAAGGTAAATAATACTTAAAAAAAAAAAAAAAAAGAGTTGGAGTAGCTTACAATTTTATTTAGGTCCTCAGGAAGCATGAAGTATTATTGCTCCATTTTATTTTTTGCAATGTAGCCTTCTAAATAATGTAAAAGACTCAGGGTAGCCCTAACTGTGAATTGCAAATGAGAGCTGAATTTCAACATATATATTGCAAACATGACAAAATACAGTCTAGGCTTGATTTGTTCCCCATGCTGAAAAACAAATTTTCATTTTGAAACACATTACTGGGCTGTCATGGCTTTAGGATGCAAGACTGGTTAAAGGATGAGGAACTTGGGAAGCTGACTTGTGTAATGAAAAACCTGGTGAAACCATTTGAAAAGGGATTTTTGCCAGAAAGGTCAAAGAACACTAATAGAGGGACTAAAGCAGTTGTTTGGGAATACTTTTCAGAAACTTTGTCACCTCATAGAACAAAGGATGAAATTCTGTATGCCTTTTTCTGAAAGATATTATTTAAATATAATGTGTTTTGGCAGTGATGCAAAAGTCAAACTTCCCATGGACTCCTAGTCTTTACAAATTCTCTAAAATGAGAGAGCTCTCTGCTCCAGCTTGTTATGGAGTGAAATGACAGCACAATCACAGTGTACAGAGAGCATTCCATACCAGTAGGAAAGGATTTGAAGGACATAGTAATAATCTGATTTATTTTACCAAATAATGTATTCACATAACTGCACACTTGCCTAATAATATGAAGGGGAAATGAAAACATGAAAGAAAAGCTCTGTTTAATGAAAGACTTGTAAGAAGAGAACAGTCCAAGACCCTAATCAAATTATATCTGTGCATTAAATGATTTAAATGAAAGTTGACATGAGCATCTACTAGGACTTCATCATGGGGGTTTTTTAAAATTTGTTTTGGTTTGTTCTTTATTTGAAATTTTTAGTGGAGGTGGATGAAACCTGCCAGTGGATGTGTTTTAGTTTCTCAGCAGCAGAGTTTTGAGATTTTTTTTCTATTAATTACTCTACCTTGAAACAAAACATCAGGTCTCATAGGAATTTCAACTTGGTTTAGTTTCTCAATCAGTACAAAACACATTCACCAATGTAGCACTGCTGGGCTTTTGTTTGCCAGCCTCTTAGAAGGATTGACTGTGTCTCCATAAGGCCTAAAATGCAGAGAACTCATCTGGGAGGCAAATATGGTTCTACTTCACCTTTATCTCCCACAGCTGTGAAAGCTGTCAGCTTCTAAAGCTGACAAATTGAGAATTCAGAATATTCTCAGAATAGTTCAACTGTCTCACACCAGTGTTTCTTTCACTTGTTCCTGCCTTTCCCCTGGATTTTCTTCTTTCAGAAATAATAGCAAGATCAACCATCTCCCTATGTATATTAACTGGATATATCCCTGTATTTACTACAGTGATTGTTGAATGGCTATAAAGAATTATCTTTAAATACTCATGTTATGTAAGTAACTGAGTTCTGAAATATCTTAAGAAATGTTCTAGTAGCCAGTAATCATGAAAAAGCCTTTAAAGACTGGAATAGTTTCAAATGCCATTTGCTCTACTGCCAAAAATCACATTTTTAAATGTCTGCACTTAGCCTTTATTTCACACACAGCTATCACCGGAGCTGTGCAAGATGTTACTTTTTATTTAGCTGAAAACTGGTATTTCAAAATTTGTTCTTGTTCCAAATCAAATAACTATCTTTCAGATGATTTCCCATAAAAGAGGGGTTCCTTTAAATATCAACAATTTTGAAGTTCTTTGTTCTAGAAAGGCAAAATGCTTTTTTCTATTGCTTGCATAATTTGACAACTTCATCACATAGTATTTCATAGCATAATAGGTTCCTATTATGAAATATTAATGTTTTCTATATACATTTGCCATATAATTCACTGAAACATAGAATATCCTGAATTGGCAGAGATCCACAAGGGTCATTGAGTCTACTTCTGATTCCACACAGGGCCATCTAATGGTTAAACCATATATCTAAGAGTGTTTTCCAAATGCTTCCTGAACATCAGAAGCCTGCAGCCATGACCAGCTCCTTGGGGAGCTTTTTCCAGTGTTTGAATACCAGATCAGGGAAGCATTTTTTCCAAATATCCGATCTGAACTTTTTCTCACATAGCTTTTAGACATTACTTTGCATCCTCTCCTGGACACCACAAAGTGGAGATCAGCACTTCCATTTCCACTTGCCTGTGGAGATCTCCACTCCTCCTTATGGTGAAGACAGCAATCATTCCCGTCAGTCTCCTCTTCTCCAACACAGCATTCTCAGCTACTCCTCATTCCCTCTAGCCCCTCACCATGTTTGCTGCCTTCCAGACAGTCTGGTAACTTTATTCTCTTCTTATATTTTGGATCTCAAAACTGCACTGAGGTGCAGGACACACCACAGTACAGTGGGACAATCACCAGTCAGAAAAACGTTTCTATGCTGTGCTTAAAGCACCTCAGGGTATATAATCCTCATTTTCAATACTAGCAGTTCATATTTTTAATTTTCACTAAAACTATGCATCATTTACACAGAAGAAAGGGTTAATCTCAGCTACATTTAGTTGCCTAAAATTTGGGAAATTAATCTAAGTAAACTAGACTTATTAGTCAGTAGACAGAAACAGGCATCTCTAAATCAAAGTTATTTTAAAATAGTTGTCACCATGGTATTATATACCAGTGTTAACTCTCACTGCCAACAGAACAAGGCCTACAGTTTGCATGTTTTACTGTTCTGGCTAAGACACTGCTACGCCTCCTGCAATTATCTAAATATTGATATACTCTCACATTTCACCAAGTTAAAACTTACAAGAACTAAATATAACGATATTTCTCTCATAAATAGATTAAAAAATACTTCTACTTGTTTGGTGTAAAAGAAACAGAAGAAGAAAGGTAATGTTTGCACACAGTTTGTGTACCACTTCATTGATTTATAGACTATAAAAATTGTACCAAATAGATCTGAAAAAGTGCATGTGAATAGTTTTAATTTTTTTTCCACAGATGCTGCAAAATGAAAGAGATTTACATAATTGCCAATTTACAAATGGTATTGGCATGTTAAATTTTTCCATTCATACTTGTTTAAAGTACAGTTTGGATCCAGATTTTTATAACTCACAAGAAATTACCTTATAATTCACAAATATGGCATAAAAGTGCTAAAACCAAATAGAAATGAAAATGCATTTTAACTTAGAAACTCAGGGCATTAAAAATCTGGTAAGAAATGCTTCTTAAAAATGAGCATTTTAGATTGTATCAATTGCAAAGAACAAGAGCTTCCAAAAACTGTGACCCTGACTCTTTAAATGTCTTACAATAACACATAACACATGGCTTGTCATATAAGTTCCAAAACTTTAATTAGCCGTTAACATATTGTTTTCTTTTAAAATGTCCCTCTTAATTATTCATTTCAGTGAAGCAGACTAATTATGCTTCTTGGATAAAAGCACATTGGCTCATTAATCTTTCTTTTTCAGTAACATATAAACAGTAGCTATGATGAATAAGATAGCATTTTTAAAATTATTATTTTCTGCCTATAGAAGATAGAAAAAGTATGGGATCCTGAGGGAATGCCAATGTTATTTAAAGATTATAGTTAGTATTGTAACATTCTTATGAATTATTAAGAAAAAATGAAACTAGACACCATATTCAATCACTTATTATTTCTGAATTTTCTTGTCAATTAATTTCTGCCATTAGTATTTTTCATGTTGTTGGCCATTACCGCAAGCCACATTTGCTTAGGTTTTCCCAGAGCATTGATAATAGATGCAACTGTCCAATATTAATTAAGAAACCTCTAGGACATGAGAAAAAAATACTTTTTTACCATCTCTTAATTTTAAAAATTAATGGAAAAAAAAATTAGTCATTCAGAAGACCCTGTATTTAAAAACTTACTCCTTCTCCCTTTTTTACACTTAAAACCATGACAATCTTACTACCATTGCATTCTGTCTTATGGTTCTGTAAAACTTTGCTGTGATACATTATTACACTGGTTATCAAATGTGGTTCATTGCTCTGTTTTTTATTACGGGATTAGAGAGCATAAAAATGACTTCTGCTCTGGCAAACTTAGTCAAACAGTTGGCCGGCCTTGTTGAACTTCATAAAATTAACTTCTCTACAGGCTCACTCTCAAGCCTGTGACATCCCTTACCTCCATCACCATGTGATCACATCACACAGCTCAGTGCTGTCTGCAGACTTGGTGGTGGTGTACTCAATCCCACTGTTCATGTTGCCAAGAAAGATGTTTGAGAGTGACTGGTCCCAGTACTGACCACTAAGAAAACCACTCCTTACTGGCATATACATTCCCTCTTGAGCTTTCACTGTGCACCTCCAAGAAGACATCAGGAAAACTACTTATACATCATGCTTCTGTCCCCAAATCATTTTAAAGACAAACTTGTTGCAGATTTTCAGTGTATTCCTTGGAAAGGGAAGTCCAAAACTGGACATAGTACTTGAGAACCAATTTCACACACAATGCCAAGCAGAAAGGAGTAGCATTTTTGACCAGCTGCCTACTTGCTTGCTAATGCAGCACAATATATCATTTGCCTTCTTTGCCATGGGTATTACTCTGCTGGTTCATATTTAATTTGCCACAGGGATACCCAGGTTACAATTACCTGGAAATCTGCTCTCTAGCCATTTGAAAATATTGTGACTGTATGGGAGTATGGGATTATTCCATTCCAAGGACATAACTTTGCAAATTTTGTCAAACTTCAGGAGATTTGGCTGCAAATATATTATGGCTGGCTGTGAGATTATTGCTAAAATCAAAGTAATTTACATACATGGCTCTCCCCCCACCCACGCAGCCAGACATAGCACCAGTGAAGACCATCAGGCTGCTAAAGAAGCTTTGGTAAATACATGCTGCCTGTTCTCAATCTCCTTCATGTAGGTGTGAAAGACTTACAGCAGGATTTGATTAAAAATCTTCCAGAGTAAAGAGGTAAAGCTGATATAATATAATTTATTTCATTTCCCAGATATGTCTTCCTTTCTTTTTTATTGAAAATAGATGTGAAATTTCCATTTTTCCATTTTGAGAGCAGCTTCAAAATGTTGTCAGCTGCTGAAGCTTAGCTCTAGTAGGCAGCTAAGCCCCACACTGCTGTTTATTCGTTCCCCCACAGCAGGATGGGGGAGACAATCAAAAGGATGAAAATGCAAAAGCCCAGAGTTGAGATAAAGACAGTTCAATAGGTAAAACAAAACAAGGGATTAATTCACTGCTTCCCATGGGCAGGCAGGTGTTCAATGATGTCGAGGAAAGCATGGCCCTGTCACATATACGTTACTTGGGAAACAAATGCAGTGACATGGAATGACATCCCCTTCCTTCTTCTTCACCCAGGATTTATTGTTGAGCATGATGCCATATGGTATGGAATATCCTTCTGGTCAGCTGGCTTCAGCTGTCCTGGCTCTGTCTCCTCACAACTTCTTGTGAAACCCCAGCCTGCTTTTCTTGCTGGCCTTCCCTAAGATCCTGGCCTACAAATTCTCCAACAAACATCATCCATTCAGTAGCAAAACTGTGGATTTGTGCTGCTGTTTTGCATACAGTACCATCATCTCACCTGTTTTTTTTTTTTTTTTGGTTGGTTGGTTGGTTTTTTTTCCAGTTCTATTCAGAACTTCCATCATACTTCTCAGGTCATATTCATTCATGTACTGTCACTTGAGATGGTTACAGCTGTGACAATTGGTACAGGGAAGTTTGAGAGCCTCCCTTAACATGTTCTCCCTAGATGTCTCATCCCTGCACCCCATCCTCCTTGCTACACTTTGGTCTTCATCCACCAACTAGCCTACCATAAGTTGTTCCTTTAAATACTTTTTCTAAAATGAAATGAAATGTATTTAATATGACTTTTCCCTCAAAATGCATTTTTTACATTTTTAAATTTTTAAAATTAGTATAAACTGGCACTGATGTCTACAGTACTATGACAATTCATACTATCCACATGCTGGAACCTGTATTTATTTAAGCTTTTAAACATAATTTGAATCTAGACAAGAAAATATGTATCTCCTTGGATTTACCAAGTGTTGGATGTTTAAGGCTTAAAGATAAACTTTTTAATGGATTCAGGAGCATTACTTTGTGTAAAATTTAAAAATTTTGGTTACAAATAGTTCCTCATCCTTGTCTTATTGCATTTACATATAAATGCATTCAAAAATTTTCCCCTGTAAATGTGTTATCTTCAGGTAAACCAATTCAACTATGTTGTAAACTATTGGTCATACAAAGATTTGATTTTGTGAATAGCACTTTAAATATTATCATTGGCTGCCAAATGAAACCTATGAATGATTCTTTCACCACACATGCATTAAGTAATCCTTGTTTAAAAAGAGCTTATGACACATGTTAGAAAAACCCTCAGTTTTTAAAATTTTACTTAGTAGATCAAACAACCTCTTTTTCAGAATCTTCAGCTTCTTTCCTTTTACATAACTTTCTTCACCATACAAATCTGTTGGTACAATGATATCAAAATTGTGAACTCAAACTATTAAATTTTAAATATTTATTGTATTATGGCAGATTGATTATATTAAATAGAAGCACAATGAGAATGTTCATCTCATCCAGCTTTATAATCTTTTGTGTTGTTGTACAAATAATTATGATTGAGTTATTTTTTTGGATACATTTTGTCATTTACCAAGACAAAAAGAATACTCTTGAACAATTCATGTGACCTATATAAGGTATCTATTTTAGGAAGAAGCAAACAATTTGTTAAAGATAATATATACTATAAAGGGAATTGAAGGATGAAAAAAAATCTTGACTAGATGCAGATATTTATAGTGCAGATGACTAGTCTGACTAAGTCACTTTAGGCTTTCTTTCTGATTAATGAAGATAAAGAGGCAGTGGTAAGACAGTAAAAAAACATCCCTCTGGGTCAAACAGACATAGAGGACACTACCATCAATTCCACAGCCAGTGCAGATACAATGTCTGAAAGAATCAGCTTGGTTTTTGGCCTTTGGGGCACTTACTGTGAAATAAAGCCATATCAGGTACATACATGTGTTATGTAGGCTCATGTATGTTACGATTAGAACTGACCTTCTACTAGAATCCTTGCAAAAAAGCATAGAGATCTTTGCCAATGTTTGCCTATTCTTAAGTTTCTCTTGCCTTTACCTGACATGGGCTGGGAAAGAGAAACTTCCTTGGGACATGACACACGGTTCTACCTCTTTGTGTTCAGGCAACTGGATTAAGTCATGGGGATGAGATTCAATTCAAGAGAAAATATTTTATGTTAGGTGAGTACACATAGTCAAGATGATTAAATTTTCTTTGCTTGGTATTTTTATTTTTTTTTTAATTAAGAGTGATCTAAAGAACAAAGTCAATGAAACTTCTAAAGGTGCAATGAAGCAACCTTAACATAGATGTCAGGAGCCATTTAATATAACAAAGCCATTCATCCTGTCTTCCAGATTCTTCTCAAAGAGGATATAGATTTAATATAGGTCTTAATCATAGCTTCTAAGCTCATATATATTTCTCATATACCAGAAGACCTTCAAAATGCAGGTTTGATGAACCAAGGTCCTAATCTCTACTGACAATATTGTAAATTTAGATACTTAGCTTAGAGTTTTTGTTCTCTGTTAAGTGTGTTTTACTTGTAGACTGAAACTAGAGCTAAACTACTATGAAATCCACACACCTCTAAGCTATGTCAGTGTTCACTTCTTTACTGACGCAGTAATCATGTCACAGGAGAAGCACTTCCATTCTGTCTCTAGGGGTCCACATAATGTATAATATACTTACAGTAGGACTGTCTTTGACTGGGCCTATATTACTAGAGTAATATATGGTTATGGCACAGAAATTATTCACTGAGGTCATCGAGCTCTTGCATTTCAGAAAGCAAATATTTCCTTTTATTCACAGGCAATTTATCATCTGAAACAGAATGCAGACCAAAAAAAAACTCTAGGTCAAGTCATGTGTCTTTCTTGCAAGGTTCTTGATAACCTATTTATTGAGTGTATCTCTATGTGATTTGCAGCTTTATCTGGAAGTCTTTAAACAAATAGTAAAGATTTTTTGTTGTTGTTGTTCTAATATTCATCTAGTAAGACAAGTCTAGGTAATAGTGTCCTAAGCTTAGTTCAGCGAGTCTAGTAAGCTTACTAAGGCAAATAGGGACAGACTGAGGGTTAGCAGACGCTATATAAGTGTACTGTAAACATCAGTACATGCACTAAACTAAAATATTTTCAGTTATTTGTTAGATATTAGATAGTTCTTTAGTTATTTGTTAGATATTTATTTTATGCTAACCTGAATTCTAGGAATAGTGTTCCAATATGTAGAGCTACTGAAGGTTCTTCACTTCTTGTAAGGTTAAGAGCTTTTCATTCAGAAACACAGAACCATGCCATGTCCCTCCAGGATCTCCTAAGTAAGCCTGTAAACAATTTTTCTACATGCTTATTAACCAAAACTAAAACAAGCAAACAGAAAAAACCCAAAATCCAAATCCTCAAATTCAAAAAAACCCACCAAACTTATTATTATCAATGGAATTTTCACTTACATTTTAAGTAAAGGCCGAGGAAGAAAAAATAAAGAACAAGAAAGAACATCAGAGTGCTAAACTCAGCAACCAGTAGTGCCTGAAACAAAATCTCAAATGGATCAGCTACTTGAGTTATGTCAAGACTTATTTTATGTAAATAAAATATTAGATTCCTTCTAGTCAAAAACTGATAAGAACTTCCAGAGAATGAGTTTATTTTTCTTAAAATGGTGATCAAAATAAAGCTAGACATCTAGGAAACCTCTTTAATTCAGGAAAGACAGAGATCAGAAATCTGAAATTAGATTTTTTTCCAATAAAGTCTTATTTTAGTTAGAGAAAACCAGCATTTTGGATTAATCTCTCCCTCTGTTTGTTATTCAGAGAACATAAGTACTAAAGCCTTAGGACTTTATGCTTTGCTTTTCAGGTATTAGAGAGCTGTTGTGCTGTTCTCAAAAGGGTAGCACTTATCCTAGACATAGTAAACTAGTTATAATAGAGAAAAGAAAACTAACAATTCAGGAATTGCTTCACAACCAGGCCATATATAAAGTAACAATTTAATATGTTGTTAAAAAACATTAATAGGAAAAAATGTATTTGTAAGCAAATTCTTTGTGTGCAGAAACCTCAATTTCTCTTGATTTCTAATCAGCTCTTTTGAAAGAGCTTGCTCTGTAGATTTGTAATACACTCTCTAAGAAGAAAACACAAAATGGAGACACATTCATGCTTGTTTGAACAAGCACTAGTAAAAATTTCAACTATACTTTGTGACATTCAGTTGGAGTGTTCTGGCTCTCTTGCTCATAGTGTTGCTCTATAATCAGGGTCATCTCTTTCTTGATTCAGAGAACTGATTTTATCAACTTGATTTACTTTCTGTTCTACCTCAAATATACTAAGTTACTCCAGGATAATCTAAGACAAAATTTATTCCTGTCAATTAAGCAACAATAGAATGAATTTTAAAATATTCCAAAGAAATATAACTGAAAAACCCCAACCCAGAGATAGTGAAAAATCCTAACAGTGTTAAACAGCTGTATTATTGAATCAATACATTCATATATTATTTTTAAAACATGGTTATATTTTTAAGGAAAAAAACTCAATTGAAAAAAAATCTTAAGTGTATTTTTACAATTAAAAATAATCCTTTGAGATTTTTCCAGGGAATCAATGGCATGTTTCATAACTGGGAAGCAGTTTGCAGGTGAGTTGTTTGTATGTACAGCTGCTTCAAGAACCATCATTTTCTCATAAAGAACCTCCTTTCTGATAGAAGGAATGTATTTGTATAGACAAATGCAAATACTTAGCATTTTGAGCTGTAAGTTATGAATGTAAAACTTAGCAACATTTTTGGAAAGAAAGACAATATTATAGACTACTAGTTATATAATTTCTGTGGGAAAAAAAATTACTATCTCACAGCTCTATCTTAATTGTCATATTCCTTATTAACAGTTGAACACTCATTTGTGGTTTGACATCATGTTTACATCAGTTTTTATATGGTGTAGTTTGTCTATATATTGACACTAGAATCCCTGTACAGTCTATGGAATTGCATGGAAGTGGCTAGCTCTTCTCAGCCGCTAGCCCTGCATATTTTGTAATTTAGTAATCTCTTTTAAACTCCTTTGATTTTGTATTTAGTCCAAAACCAATCCAGCATATAAAGTTCTCTCCCTGTTTTTCACCTCTGCAGCACTATGGCCAAAGAGGACATCTAACAATTAATATGTTCAATTACATCTGCACAAAATTTTAAACAATTTAGTGCAAAATTTTTTAATACAGCTTGTTTTTAAACATGCTTGAGTTTTGTATATTTTTGTACTACAAAATGGAGCACTGACTAGAGATATGTTGAATGCTAGAATTAGTTGGTAAGTTTGCATGAGTTACCACAGAACTATTTAAGGATACTAACTCATAGCATATAAACAGTATAGTCAGGTCAGCAGGGCTGTGTTTAGCCCAGAGCTGATACATTTCCAAATTCATAACTAGCTCCTTTGTAACTAGCTCAGACATTTCCGCACAATACACAGCACTAGGCTGGACATACCTGTAGGCTGTTGAACCCATGGTAAATCACACTTACTGAGTAACTGGCCTGATTTTCACATTTTCAGAGTGACTGAGCCTCTTCAAACAACACTGGAGATTTCAAATAAAATTATACAAATTTCAAGCATAAATGTAGTTAATTAAAAATACAAATTCTCTATATTATTAAATAAGTCTGGAATAAATTCTGGTGGGTGTGAGGATGTTGCTTGCTTTATTTTGATTATAAATAGAGTATTGTTTTTACAGCGTAAGCCAGCTAGCTCTATTTACAAATTCAATATCAATAAGCCACATAAGAAATGTTAAAATATGGATAAAATAAACTAGACAATTACCTTGTTTCTAAACTTCAGATGCTTAGATAGACTATTTGCTTCTGGCTGTGTTGTTTTGGTTTTTGGTTTTGTTTTTTTTTTTGGTTTTTTTTTTTGCTTTAAGTGCTGTTTTCATCCTATGAAAATTAATTAACATGGTTATTTTTGAGTCCTCCAGAGACACATCTGTGAAACTAAGTTTAAGTACTTAAGTTAGACAGACTGGCTCTGTTCCATCCTTTCTGGGAAGAAGTAACAGGCTATTCCTGTGATTTATATTCTAGCGATATGAGTAATGTTCTTTTATTATACAGAAATATTTTTTTTTAGCCATTTAGTTTCTTTTCATTTAGTAATTGAAACAATTGGGACTTAAGTACTCAATCTGTCACTTTCGTGCTTTGGCAAATAGTTTACATCATCAGAATCAGAAAGACCATATAGATGCAAGGAGAACATTTTCAGAGACTTCAATCCAAGGAGATGCGAAACAGCTTTGAACAGAATTGGCCCTTATTTAATCATTCTTCAGACAATGCTGTTGCTCTCTCATCAAGATGTAATACAACAGAGCTTTACCCTGAAAAGGAAATGACAGAAAGAATGAATCAATTAATTGAAGTTGTTTGCATCCATTACTAAAACCACCCTTACCAAAAACTATTAATCACAGAAACCTCTTAAAGAATCATCCTTAGCTCTTCCAGGGTTTACCAAGATTTTGCTCCACTGCAGATTAGTTTGCACATGGACTAATATTTATAGGTTCTTCTAATTTCAAAATTTTAGATTATAATTTTTTTCATTTTTTCAATAACCCTTCCTAATTATATCTACTTTAATATCAAGCCCATTTTGAATTTCCCCTCAGATTTCTTTGAAACAGAATACACAGACATCTATTTACAACTGATTTTCAAAGTTGTATCAGTTTTAAATACTTCATTGGGAACCTTTATCCACTTTATTTATGACCATGACTGCCAAACAACTGGGAATAACGAGACAGATATTAGAAAATTATATTATATACTAACATATGTCTATTGGGTGCACACATCAAGATAAACAGACACATACACAAGTCTATTAGTAGCAGAAACTATTTTCATTCCAAACATTTCAGCTGATTTTTCTTTTTTTTTTTAAACAAATCACTCCTTGCTCAGTCTCACACAATATGCAAAGGATGAATTTATAGGATTTAGGCAAGATTTTTAGAAGTAAGGTATAGCTTTTAACATCCACATAAAAAATGTGACTTCTTTTTTTTAACATGTATTTAGGAATACTTGAAAAGTTTAAAAAAAGGTTATCTTTTTTTTCTTCAAAAACTGGGTTTATTCACCTGTTAAATGAGTGATATTTTAAACTAATTTCTTTGAAAAAGAGAGAAATAGAAGAACAGTATATCCTCAAATTCTCTTCCTTTTGACTTTTATAACCTAGCTCTTTAGCAGTCTAATGAAATTCATTTTCATTTCCCACTTAATAATACTCCATCTATAACTGGCTCAAACATTTAGTCCCACTGCCTGCTGCTGAGACCAATCCTGCTTACCACCCACTCACCTCTGTCTATTTTCATGTGACCATAAATGAATTTTGTAATTTATTTTATCAATATGAAAGCTAATTCCATTTTTTTTTTGCAAGATTTTCCTTTACTTGGATGAGAAAGATAATTTGACACCTTGCAGAAGCACAGTAGCAGATACTGTAAAAGAAGGGGTCAGGCAGGATTTGGAAGAGAGAAGATTCACACTGTGTTTTCTGCTTGGTGCAATCACAGACCAGCCTGGAGTCAAATGAGGACCTACATTTCATATCTAACAGAGACACCATAGTAAGTATCCACTATAAATCTAGGTTGTTGATTTACAGTTCTGTCATGGTTGTTAGGGTGTCGATTTTATTTAAGTGCAAATAAGTAACATGTTGACACAATAAGATGGCAGTATTTTTCAGTCTGTACTTTAGATAGTTCCATTAAACCCTTTAAATTAATTTAATAATCAATATATGCAGCAAGATGCTTTTCAAAAATCATTATGTAAAATGTTGCATATCTGTTAGGTGCTACTAAGGGAAGGAAATCTGACTATTCTGTGGGCAGAAAATACAAGCATAATGGAAATAGGAAATATGAGCCTTTCAGCTTGAGACTTCATCTACTATTTTCTAATTTTGCTTTGCACATAAATACAACCATAAGTTCTTGTTCTCAATGCACAAAGATCCATTTTTCCCATGAGACTATTATGTATTCTTGTATTGGGTTGGCATGGTAAGGTTTTGAAGAAGATAAGTATGGGGGGCAAGTGTTTTTAAGATTTGATTTTATATCTCATTATCCTACACTGATTTGAGTGGTAACAAATTAAATTAATTTCCCCAAGTCAAATCTGTTTTACTCATACTGGTAACTGATAGATTGATCTCTCTCTGTCTTCATCTCAACCTACAAGCTCATCATCATATTTTTTCTCCCTTATCCCACCGAGGAGAGGGAGTGACACTGCAGCATTGGTGGGAACCTGGTGCAACCTACCACAACTCTGTTTCCTAATCAAACATAAGAAAATATTCCTTTACTAAGGTTATTTCATTTCTTCATGTAATTTTTCTTTTGCTCTTTAATCATAATTTTCAATATAGTGTCCATGTGTATAAATACTTTGTCAAGACTGAAAGGAATATTCAACCTAAATACACATTGTTTCAGTTTCATGTTTGAGAGGCATCAAGGGAAACACTAAAACAATGATCTGAACTTTTTTCACTGCATATGAACATTTCTTCTTGCCATTTCCAGCATGGTTGCTTCAACGCCATACGGCAGTTCCTCCCACTCAGCAGATGTCTCTCCCCATATTACCATCTCACAGTTTCCTCTATTCCTGCAGACAGTTGCTGAGGAATAAGCACCATGCTGCAGTGACATGCTCGGGTTGAAAGCCATACAACTGGAAAAGCCTTATTAGTTTAGACTTAATGTGCAATTATCTTCCTGCTTTGGAGAGCCAGACTGCAGACACATGCACACCCACATAACGTACTGATAATATTTGAAGTCAGACACTACTTACAGGTGTTAGCTGACATAAATATACTGAACAAATTATTTCTGTGGTGAGATCCCAAATCCCATATTTTCACAGTCAAGAAGTCTTTTAATTGGATGAACCTGTGAATATAGACCCAGTATTGAGCTAGGAAACAATTCATCTTTGCTTTTTCTGGTTAGTTTCTACTCATCAAAATATATTGCTGTATATCAAATAATGATTCTAATTTGATATAAGAACATATAAATCTTGTAGACTTTGTTATTGATATTTTTGCTATTACTGTTTATTTTCTTATATCATTACTGTTTCCAGTAAATCCTTCTTATATCAACTCATGATTTAACTTTTGTGCCTCCAGTTGTCCTCTCCAGCCCACCTCAGGAGAGGGAAAGGAGAGCAGGGAGCAAGTGGTGTATGGTTTTAGTGGAGCACTAAATTGGAGAATACCCTTCCTAAACCACAGTGGGGAAAGGAAGCATTCAGCTGTACAGATATTTATCATTTATTGGAAGTTGTAGCTCACGGATAGCTTTTAATGTCTCAGAAGGGAATTTGGATAGTTCACAGAATAATTTAAACTGGGGTCAACAGAAACAAACAACCAAAAATACCGGATGAAGAATTGTTTGATTCTGGTCATATCTGAAACCTGAACACAGAACTGCTTACTTCTGAAGCTGTTTTTTATAAATTCTATCAATGTGCAGAAAGTTTTTTTTCTTCCCAAAGTTCACAAAACAATTGTTAAAACTATGCTTAAGATTTGTACAACTTGAAATGACAACTTGAAAACAAAGGGAAAATACAGCACATATTTCCAGCGTTTCAACTGCTGTCTTGAGATGCCTTCATCAAAGATAGCAATATTTCATGCTTTCTGAACGGAATCAACTTCAACTGCAAAAATGATGGAACCACTTCTTAAGTTTTTGATACATACTAGGCAGGAAGGAAGAAAGTCCAGGGACCTTCTAGTTGTCCCTATATTCATAGGCATTACGATGTGGGAGAACAAAAGATGTTCAGGCAAACTTAATTATCCTGATCTCCAAAGAAAAAGTGAATCAGATTGCAAGTGTATATTCAAGATAGTTTTCAGTCTTGTTTCTGAGGGTGTAGTTGTCAAAAACAGTTTTAAGCACCTCTGAAAAATAGCTAGTCTATTGGCTTATACTTGTTTATTTGTTTCTTTGTTTTGTTTTCTTGACATTTTGGGATATTTTATAAGTAAAAAAGAGACAAATTCTCACAGGATTCACTTTCTCAACTGATGGCAAAAGCAGTTAAGGAATGCAGGACTTTGCTCCAAAATAAGTGAACACTGGAGGAAAGCAGGGGGAGGAAGGGTAAGTATTACAAGTAATATTGGGAAATAAAGTCCCAAAGAGTCTTAGATTGAGCAGGAGTGTGCAGCTGTGCCTGGTTTGAATTAAAGTATTCTGATTTCAGAAGGAAGTGACATTGTGGACTTCATCTATGAAGCAGACTTGATATTTAAACATATGATGAATTTAAATAAAAATCATTAAAATTCCTCTTTTATTGTATTCTTTCAGAGTATTTTGAAAGCTCACTATCTTGGATTAAAAAGAGAAATAGGTATAGTTCATGGTTAATACGTAATTCTTCATTATAAATCTATGAGTGTTTATTTTTTTAAAGTATCGAGAAGTGGACCTTCTTTAGGCATAATTTAGTTCTTTCATAAAGTCAAAAAAACTGATTACACTATTCTAATGCATTTGTGCTGTTAAAACCTTTCTGGATTTGTTTAGTTGGTTTTGGTTTAATTGGATTTTCATTCAATTAAAAAAAAAACACAAAAGATTTGTGTAAAAGCTTACTTAAATCTGAATAATTAACTACCCATCAACTGGATTGCTGTGTTGTCTACACAGTAAAAATTGTAAGTAGATGGAGCAAAGATTTCAGTGGATAGAATGTCAAAACATGAGATAAATGGCTAGTCATGGAGGCCTACATTTTGCATATTTTAGAGAACAGACGTGAAAAAACATCATCCTTTTTTCAGTGATGATGTGAAAACAATTATCTCAGTCATCCTACTTGTAATTAGAAAAGGAATTCTGTGTCTTTCTAAGGTTAAGTGCAAATTTTTGATCTTAAATGATTTAATCCTTCATACTCTGGAGTATTTATGAAAATTTAGACATAATGGTTTAATTATTTTAGAAATTGCTGTGTCCAACTCATTTCTGGTCTTGTCAAGTTTTCAAGAATTGTGGATTTAGAGAAGCAGAACTTATATGTAGCTGGTTGCATAATATGGAAGTAATACTGTGATTATTACTTCATTAAAATCTAACTAAATTTTCATTAAAGTCTAACTAAATTTTTACTGTGTTACTTATAAAAAAGATAACACATCCCCTTTACACTTGGAACATTAGCACATTGAATGGGAATTACGTTTTTCTGGATATTTCCAAATGTAACAAATCATACAGTTAACTTAGAATCATCACAAATTGTGTAACTGTGCAAAACTTCTTTTCCTGTGTTTTCTTGTTTTGTTTTGGGTTTTGTTTGTTTGTTTTTGAGAATAAATTGTTTAAACCATGAAACATTTTAGACAAATGAAAATATAATGTTGAAACTCTAAATGCTTAAGTCACATTCAGCAAATATATCTGTAGTTTAGACAGAAATGGTAGCTATTTTATTTTTTTATATTCATATTCTGATGTAGTCTAAAAGAATATTTAGAACAATTCTGAAGCAGTACTATTCATTGTTTACATGGTTGAACTTCAGTTGTCATTTTTCTTCATTTCTGGATATCCTGCAGATACCTCGATATCTACATTTTCAAGTTTGTGAATGAGTGAAAGCACATTTTCAAAGTCCTCATTTTGGAGTACATGTCTTCTTGAGTCTTCTGAGTCTTAATATCTATATATATATTTTAGCATTAACTATCAGATGACATTTCCATCTGTCATAGTTCCCACAGAACTATGGCTTAATGCTGAAGTATTTGGTTCTCCAGATTTATCTCTTCTCACAGTTCAGGTTTATGTTATTAACAAGACATCAGGATAGGTAGACTTCAATTAAGACACTGGGAAAATTAATTCTGAGTTATCCATATCTTGGTCTTACCTTTCTTGTTCCCATTTTTTCAGCAATTCCCTGTTTAAATAGTTCCCTGTTACTCTTCCTAAACTCTCTTCATTGTTTCCATAACAGTGGACCTGATAACTCAAAAGATGATGAAAAAATAGAATATAGAGTATCTTGAATTGGAAGGGTATTCACAAGAATCATCACAGTCCAATTTTTAGCCCTGCACAAGTGTCATGGTTTAGGAATGGTATTCCCCAATTTAGTTTTCCTATTGTGCCGCTCACTGGCTTCACCCTACTCCTCCCCTTAAGGAAAACTTGAGACACAAAAGGCAAGATCATAGGCTGAGAAAAGAAAAATTTAGTAGAAACAACAAAGAGATAAGAAAATTGTAGTAATAGTAACTCTATAAATAAGAAAGTATACAAGAGTCACATGTGATTTCTTGGAACCAGTGTTCCCTCTGCCACATTTACTCAACCCGAAGGAGCCACTTCTCTCCCTCCCTCCTGCCTCTGGCCCTGACATGAGGTGTTATAGAATAACCTCCATGTCCTAGCCGTGCCTCCTTCTGGCTACAGCAAAAATTAACCATGTCCTAGTCAGAACCAGGACAACAAAACAACCCCAAGAATCACACCATGTGCCTGACAGGATATTGCAAATGTTTCTTTTCCTCTGTCAGACTCAGTGCCATGACCACTTCCCTGAAGAGACTGTTCCAGTGCCCAGCTACCCTCTGCATGATGAACCATTTCTGAATATCAAACCTAAATCTCCTCTGACACAGCTTCATGCTTTTACCTCGGGTTCTATCACTGGTCATAAGAGGGAAGAGATCAGTATCTTCCTCTCATGCAGAAACTGTAGACGATGAAGAAATCTCCCCTCTTCTCCAGGCTGAACAGACCAAGTGACATACGCCACTCCTCATATGGCTTCCCCTCTAGACCCTTCACATTTGTGGTCCTCCTTTGGACACTCTCTAATAGTTGTATATCTTATACTGTGGCATCTAAAACTGCACACAAGGACTTGAGGTGAGGCTACACTAGCACAGAGTGGATCAGGAAAATCACCTCCCTTGACAGCCAGTGATGCACCCTAGGACACAGCTGAACCTTCTGGCATTCATGTCACACTCTTCACTCAGTAGAATGGGACTTAATGCTAGAAGAACCAAGATTTGAATAGTGGAGACTAGTAAGTTTATAAGAGTAGGAGTATACACAGGCTGAAAATACTACTGAACCAAATGGAACCCATCTCCTGACAAATGATGTTTTTGAGACCTTTTTTCCTCTTTTTATTCTTGCAAAATTGTCTTCTGCCATTTAAGACAGAACACAAAGCCTTTGAACATACTTATAGAAAGCCAAATTATTTCATTACCTTAACATGGTGGTTTTTATGTAAAATAAAGTAACAGATGGTAAGATGTAGGTCTAGTGACAAAGGACTTTTCCAATTACTTATGAAGAGGAGAAAAATGAACACATCTGCATAATTTTTTATATCATAAAAAGGTAGAAAGCAATTTCCAGACTGATTGGAATAGGATGCCATTAAAATCACTTCTTAAGGGAATATTTTAAGTGCCTGTTTTTCAGAATGAAGTGCCTGTAATTCATGGGCATAGATAACAGCTGTACTGGCCTCTGTGTGTAAATGCAGTCATATTTCCATGTATTTCAAAATTTTCATAAGCTGTATGATTTCTGTAAGAATTTATGGTTATTCAAAGACATCAGAAATGCAATTTAAGTGCTACTACTCATTACATTTGCCAAAGGATTAACATTAGCAGATTTATTTTCAAAATTTTATTGTCACTGTATATCATACCTCTTCTAATATCATGTCTCTGTACTATAATAATTTCATTGTAAAGTAACTGAGGGAATAAAATCCAGCTGAAGAAACTATTATTAAAAAAGACATAATAAAGAGATATATTTGTAAAAACATTTCTATAATTAGAATTTTATTAATAGAGAAAAGATAGAGCCTATTTATAACATTTCTTCTC